CTTTAAACAAGTTACCACTTTACTCGAAAGCCAACGTTTTTTTTAAGCTGAAAAAAAAACCCATTTAATTTAAGTCTGCACATAAATTTACCCCCCCCCCCAATATCCCCCATCCCCCCCCCCACCTCCCAACAAATCGTCGGATGTTTTATTTGAAGTGTTGGGTGTCATTATCCCGGCGCCACTGAGTCTGCAGCCCACCTGCGGCGTCCTGGTCAATCTATACAGAGGTGTTATCTCCCCAGCTTTGCACGTGGACACCTCCGCATTCCTTTACACGCCGTATCTATGCACGTGTCCTTTCCTCACTACCGTAAATTACTTGGTAGTTGTTTAAATTAAACTTCAAGTGTTATACAGATCCTCACCGTGCACAGCTGAACGAAGATACGTATAAAATACGTTGTTGTGTCTCCATTTTGTCAATGATACAGGAGAAGGATCAAAACAAATAAGATTGCGTAAGCTTGCTATGTGGTGTATAACTTTGTTAGTGTCGAGTTAAGTGTGGGAACGAAACCTGCATTTTACAGCCCTGTCATGTTTATCACCACAGCCCCGCCACCAAGTCTGTAGTACACCTGGGCAGCTTTAAGTGACACTGTCACGCATATCGGACCACGCACCTGACAGAGAACCACACTAGCTTACAGTTTAATGTTAGGAACGTCAACAATTGTCTTTACAATGTTTATTCATACCCATGTTTACTGAGCACGGCACTTTTTGTTTCGCGGTTAATAATTAGCATCTTTTAGCAGAGGGTGTCTTTTTTCTTGAGGGATGGGGACTGTGTTAAAATGGTTTATTGAATAAGGATACGGTAAACTCTGATTTTCCTGTACGCATATTTGTCAAATGATGACTACTTCGCAGTTTTGTATCATGAGTAGAAAAGCTCGATGCGATATGGGGTAAAGAGGTTGTGGTTAACCAACTACACACTGTATAAAAAATTTCGGAATTAAGACTACACTTACACGACATTTAATTTTCACTCCACCTCAGACGAAACATTGTATTTAATGATGCATAATAATTTCTTTGTATTTCTTATATTCTAAGAAAGAAACAAGAAAAAAGAAACTGGCTTTCAGCTATTAAAGATGTCAACAAAAACCGTCTCTTGTTAATAATAATGGCTGCTGGTATGTAGATCAATTTTAATTATTATTAAAATAGGTTTGCATGTATATACATGTATGACAGTGTACGGCAATGATGCTGTTTTCTTGACTTTGTATGACACCTTTGAATCCATTACCAAATTTTTAAAATTATTAAAATACAGCACAAGGAAAGTAACGCCAGAAGCTCCGACCTAGGACGGCATTTAGTCTACATCGAAATTTTGCCTACAACATGTATTTCATGGTCAGATTTTAGTTTGCCTGTTAGAACCTGCCTAAGAATCCAAATTATCTGCCCAAGTTATACGGACATCATCATTATTATTATAACTATTATTATTTTAACTATTATTATTATCATTTGCTATAGGCCTACTAGCAAATGTGAAATCTTAAGTTCGATTGGTTTGTATTATGTAATATTCTATTTATGAAACTACATCCTCAATTATTTATTTTATTCTCTTATTTGGGTGAAAATACATTTAGTACATTTTAATCTAGGGTGTAGCATGTCCACATTTAGGTCATCTATCACATCGATGCCATCCTACATAATCAGTGTCGATCTTCCTATTATTTGTCTTGTGATACCACTGCAATATTGCACAATATTTTTAACATCGTTATCAGCATCCCATTGTTGGAAGGCACTGTCCAAAGATATATGAGCTCGGTTACACCATTTTACAAGGTTCCGTACTATTTATGGTTACTGAAGTGTTCTGGAAAACCTTTCGACAAATCACCAGCCTGTTCACTGTATTGTAGGCTTAATGACTTCTGTCGCAACTCTTATCTCTGTCTGTTCATGACTGAGCATTTTGTGTGGCCTTCCAACCAAGCAATTATTGTTATCTACAGCATGCCCATTCATAAGGGAGTAACGAGATTTTTTTATATTGCAACGAAGTTTCTTTCAAAAAAAAAGTTTGTATAACCATAGCAGAAACGAGCTCTCTTGTTTCACATTTTTCATTGATTTTTAGTAGCTTACCCAAACCTATAAAACGCTTATGCGGACCATAATGCAAGTCAATCCTGGGGATAAGCGACTTGTCCCGATTGTGCAAATCTCATCTAGCACAATCCTATCAAACGATGAACAAGGGGCATGGAGACAGTGTTATACACTTTCTTTATGTATGTATCACAGGCATTGTTAAATATCTTAAGGGTTTTTAATGTATCAGTTGCACGTTTACTCTAATGACTATTGAATAAATCCTGCAGGTGGTAATTTCAAGTGCGATCCAGGATTATTTGAAGGGGGGGGGGGGGGTCCGCTCAAGAGCGCCGAAAATTTTTGGTATTTTAGAGGTCGAACGGTGCCATTTTGGTACGGTTTAGAACTATAATTCAGCAAGTCAAAATTCTAATTTCAAGAGGGGACCAGAAATCGAAGGGGGGGAGCCAGAACCCCCCTGTAAATCCACCACTGCGATCCACTTGCTGTCATCAGCGACTCGGCGAATGGATCAAACCTAACACACGCTAGTTATGAAAAACTTTATTTACATGATTTTATGTAACATTTTTTGTAAATTATTTCATTTAGTTAAATGTTGTCCATGATCCGATGCACCACGACTAAGCTTTGGAACGTAGGGCATGACAAAGCCCTCTTGATAATCTTTGCCACAACTTATTCCCAATAATCCCATTAAAACTTGCAGGGTTAAGTAGACAAGGTTAGACAACTTTACACAATTTCTTAAAATCTATCCTTTTCGCAGGGTGACTGCTGTAGAAGTTTTGAGTAAGGTTATGTTAAAATGACTTGTGTCAAACAAGCATTATCAGAGGTCTTGTCCACCTATTAGTGTCTTTTTGTGTACTTACATTGTGTTGATCCTTCTTTTAGAAGCCAGAGAGCTTATAAATGCAATAACATTATTGTGCTCAATAATTTATTATTATTGTTAAAATATACCACATTGTGACACAGTTCTTGCTGCATGTGACAACACAGCTAGTTCCACTTGAGCTTTATATTGGCATCACAACCATACTTAAACATCTGGGCCCAGTTTCATAAAGGACGTTTAGCACTAACCAGTGGATAAATTCTCCTAACACCCGTTAACTAAACGACGGTTGAAATTGTGTTTCATAAGCAGAGTTTAAACAGCCGGTTAGTTAACTGACCTTTAAATATTATATCCTGTTAAACACTGGACTGTTAACTAACCGGCTATTTAAACGCCGTTTATGAAACACAATTTTAACCATCTTTTAGTTAATGGGCGTTAGGAGAATTTAACCACTGGTTAGTGCTAAACGTCCTTTATAAAACTGGGCCCTGTAGTTTATGTTCCACGTTATGTTTTCATTAAGGGAAGATGTGCATGAAATTGCATTTGTAAGCAATCAGGCTGGACTATGTCAGGCAGTTAAAAAAAAACTTCGTCCAGCAATAATCTTTGCATGTAACTAACACTCGGCCGACATCTAGTACAGAGAGCCCCTTTGTCAAGTGTTCCTTCTTCTTGAATGTTGGTACAAGAAAATCTTGAACAAGCCACAAACACACACCAAATGTATAACAAAAGCACAAACACAACAGTTTAAAGGACTTTTACTTGTAAAAATATCAAAAATAAAAATATATAGTTTTTACATTAAAGTTTACATTAGCCTAGAAAAAAATTGATGTTGGTAGACGAGGGTATTTTTTCCCATGAATTTTCCCTACTCTTGTAATTTGTAAATGGAAAAAAATAAGTAATAATAAATAAAGCAGTGGACATGAAGTTTGAAAGTGGGAGAAATTAACAATAGATCAAACCCCAGGAAGAGCTTAGTAATACTGTTGCTTTTTTGTTCTAAAATTGCCCACATTATACTGGACGAAAAATTTTGTCCACTTATCAATTTTGTATGGATTTACACTAAAATTTGTTAAAATTCTATAGAAAGGAAAAGTTATCAATTCTGGGCACCCAAAATGTAAAACTGCATCGATCTTATTACAGCGCAGTTTGAAAGACGTAATACATTCAATGCATCAACATCATCCAGTCTCATGCATCACAGTTTGCAAGTTTTTTTGGCATTGATGTCAAGATCTCTCAGACAAGTGGGTCACACCAGCGTAGGCCATGTGGTGACAGGAGTCACATTTCCATCTCACAAGGGAAAAGAATTTATGGACCCTAAAATTGGAAAAAGAAAAGGTTAGACATAAAATTAACAACAGTAGTGCACACCATTAAATTATTGTATAAAAAGATAACCCACTATTAGTCCAAATTATAAGAAATTGAATATTAAAAAAATGACGTAATTTTAATTTCACAACTTCTTAATTAGCATTAGAGCAAACCTTCAAGCAAATAGTCAATCCTCATCTTGAACAATAACCAGAAGCCGATGTTGCTTGAAATCATGTAAACATTTTGCTTCAATTTCTGGACATTACTAGTTACGTTACCTGGACAGCATTAAATCTGGGATGTCTGTCTGCTGCTTACTGGAGGTTTACATTTCTATCATCATCTTTTTTTTGTTTGTTTGTTTTTTCTTTTCTCTTTCAGTGTGTATTTAGAAAATTAAAATTGGTACCTCAACTAGTAGTGTTGTCAAGTCAGATACAAGTTCAGTTTGTTGCTATGTAGTTCTGACACCATTTACATTCAGATAATTAAAGAATACAAAGATTAAAAAAATTTTTAACTTCATAAAATGCCAGATTCTTAAATTAGAAATTGTTTATAGTATTGCTGTTTACATTGTTTATAGTAACCAAACTAACGAGTTATGAAATGTTTAGAGGATAAGGATCCCTACACGAGTTCAGAACTTAACATTTAAAGCCATTCAAGTTAACTCTCAGCATCTTGTGGAATCATTCCTGTTAACAAACAAAAGTAATTAGGTTTTTGTTTATTTGTACACATTTAATCGAAGCATATTACATAAACACTAGCCTAGCATTTATCAGTGTTGCCACGTTTGATTTTACACCTTAATTTTAAACGACCATGAGGACAAATATATTTTTTGTACAAACAGATATCAAAGTACTGCAATCAGGTGCATTTACATTAAAATCAAGCCCCTTTGCACATGCTAGGGTCTGGTAAAACAAAGACGGACCTCATTAACTCATTTAAAAAATGTTATTTGATGCATGGTTATTTAAAAAATGACATTAAATCATTAATTTCTTTTTTTTTATGCAGCTTTGTGGCAACACTGTAAACCTGGCGATTAATATAATGCAGCTGACAGAACGTCTACTGATCAACTGCTTTGCATCATATATATTTTGCTTTATAAATTTCTAATTGCTATATTTCAATGGAAAACATTTTACAAGTTTGAGTGCAACTGGCTTATATACAAATGGATATTCATTAATTGTATTCACTTTCTTGAAAACATCCCAACATACATTACTCATTCTGATTTTTCATATGATACTTCAATCTACTCATATTTTTCAGCAAAAAAGAGCTTATTTTTCTTTTTTACAAAGCTACGAAAATACATTTACATAAAAATAAACTAGGATTTCCTAGAAAGTCACACCATATGTTAAAAGGCTCAACCCTGGCCATGCTGATAATGATGATAAAAGGCCATTACTTGAAAGTTTTTTTTTTACAAGATATTTGATTATACTGTTCAAGTTTTAAAACTAAAGACATCATGGGCAGTTTTTCTGTGCACACATCAGTTTTTCAAATTGAAGTTATGAGTGTTCTTCAGGACTATTATTTTTTTCAGTCTAATTGGAGTTTAAGGTGTGACCATTGTTACATATTATTATATACTATTTTTGACTGCCAATTGTGTGTGTGGACTAGGCTACCTCTGATGTGCCATTGCCAACATAGCTTCCTAGGTAGTCTTCAATAGCAGACACAGGTCCACAGGCAGGTGCCAAACATGGGCTGCCAGCTTTAGTAACCCCGCCCATATGGGTGTTGCCTTGGTGCTGCTCTAAGACTTGTTGGAGCTTTGTATGTGCTACCACTACCACGACCACCTCCTAGGCTTCCAGATCCCCACGAATCACCTAGAAGTGAAATGTCATAAAGTCCGCTGAAATATTGTTGGCAAATATATACTGCAGTGTTCACTGGATCCAGAATTATAGAAATAGCATGTATAAAAGGAAATATCTATACATCTTGAAGAGAAAAAAATCATGTGTTCACTTGGTTACAGTAAAGGGGCTATGACCACTGGACATTCCCATGCTCAAAATAGGCAGTCAGCCATCCAAATATTGACTAACATGTTTTCTCATATACTTAGAACCTATTAAAAATTAACTGACCATGACCCAACTACATAACTGATAAATTTATATAATCAAAATATGCACTGTATAAAATTCCTGTCTGGCTCACCATATCCTGCATCATCATATCTGTCCCTTGTTGCGGTAGACCCATGTCCATAATCAAAGTACTGTGTGTCACTGAAAGTTATTTAACAGAAAATTAAATTTAATTTTGGATATTCAACATTTTGTGAATCACTGAAAATAGGTACAAAACAATACTGTATAAATCACCATGTCAAAATGTCAAGTGCACATTAAACATTCAACAATGTTGTCTTATGTCACGCATTTACTCTTAATCCATTGGCCACAGAACACTTAACCTTTATTGAAGTACTGTTATTAACCATAACCTATGTAACTAATATATGAGGATTTAACATTTTGGTTATATAATGACAATGTCACAGAGATTGGAGACAGCCTTGAGCACAGAGTCTCTTGGCAGCACTATGATCTTGTTGTCAGTATAGGCTGAGAAGACCAAGGTGTAACCACTGGAAAGACAGGTAAAACACCTGACCAAGACCAGGAGCATCATGCAAAGAATACAGCAAGCACACCTTGGTTTTAGCCATAACATAATGAAATAGATGTCAACACATGGAAAGATTCCTCTTGATGTGAAATACAGTAATTCCTCTCAATTCCAAGCTTGCAACTAACCTTGCACCTCCTGCAGAGTAATCCTCCTCATAAGCATCTCTTCCCCCTGCACTGTAGCTGCTTTCTCCATAGGCATCATCATAACCAGCACCCTAAAAAACGGAATTATCTTGTTGAATGATAACAACCAGCCTTCAATTAACCAGCAAATATCTAAAAGAAACAACAATACTATCATTTATCATAGTAAATATATTATTTTCTTAAAATATTTGAAATGAAACTACATATAAGTCCACTGGTAATTACTAAGTTTCTAATGAGGTTTTGACTTCTTTGTTCAAAATACCATATTGTGAAGCAGTTTATTACATATCAAATTTAAAGGCAAAATCTTCTATGGACATTGTGCACTGGTTCAAGAAATAAAGTTTATTAAAGGCATATAATAGAATTGAATAAGGGTTAAGTATGCAACAAACTGCTGATATCTATGGCAATGAGGATTTCTGTTGATAATCACAAATTTCTGTGTTTCATTTACATGTAAATTAGGAAGACATTTTATGATTCTCCAATCTGAAGCTAGTGAGAGAAAACTGGCAAATTGAGCACATATACAGAAATTAAGCAGTAAAGATCCAGTTATGGTGTTAACAAATGTACTGGCCGAAGGAATCTACTCACATAACCATCATCATAGTCTGGCTCTCTAGCAAGGGCTCCTCTTCCAACTAATGGTGTAGGTGCTGGTGGAGGCACCATACCCCCACCCATCGCACCACGCCCAGACAACAATCCCCCTCGTGATGCCCCACGTCCAGCAGGTATACCACCACGCCCCAATGCACTTCCCCTAAAAATAGATAGGAAATTGCTATGGCCATCTGTGACAGTTAATACTTCAAATAGTTACTAATTTTGGCAAATTTTCATTTACCAAGCTATAAAAAAATCTTAACATTTCCAATATCCGATGTATTCTGTCTCTAATTACCTTCCCATTGGACCCCCACCCATAGCCCCTCTTCCTCTGGGGGCTGGTCCACCAGGCATGCCACGTCCTCTTCCTCCTCTTCCTCTTGGAGCCCCGGCACTGCCTGGGTCACCCAAGTTCATCAGCTCCTGGAACTGTTCCTGTCGGATCTCATCATTGTATTCCTGCAATTAAAATATAAAGATCATATAATCGCTTTGCTATACGCAGCAAAAATCATGAATTTTGTTTCTTGGCATAGGTCCAGAACCATACTAGATTCTTATCCAACATAATGGAGAGGAAAACAGCCAATATTTGTTTTGCCACTTTTTCAGTCACACTGTTATCATTTTTGCCCTGATGCACTTAGCACTACTAACCCCCAGCCAAAGTAATTTATGCCTATGAATAATATCAATTATGTTTTCTAAATCCATAAAAAGAACTAGGAATAGCTTTAGAAATGTCAAGTACAGACAGAAAGGTGGTACTTACTGGGGTTAAGTACTTCCTTAGTTCAGCCATAGCATGTGACAGTCTAGAGTAAGCTTCTGCAGGAGGAGCAAACACCTCCACCAGCACATGGAGTTCTTCATTCAAATGTGCGTACTTGCCACCCTCTTTCCGACACTCTTCCTCCTTAAATAATGTTTTTAGAGTTAAAAGAAATCTCATCCTTCTTTGTTAAGTCTCTTGAAGGCTGAAGTAATATTGGTTTTCCATGGATATCATGTTTAGATTGCAGCCCCCCCCCACACACAAAAAAATAAAATAAAAATAAATAAAAATAAAATAAAATAAAATAAAAAGATAAATAATGATAAATAAATAAATGAAATAATAAAAAATAAAATAAAACAAAATGATGGTTTTTGCAGAAATGTTAAGTGATATGACAAAACCCACCTTATTTTTGTCTCTCATTGAACCTTTTCCAAGGATTGACATTTTTGTACCCGTGTCTTCCTGAAGTCTTTTTAGAGACAATCCTTTAGGTCCCAAAAGCTTCCCAACAAAGTTAAACTGAAATATAAAGCCAGTTAACATATATATTTGAGAAGGGTTATCATTCTGACACTTTTCAAATGTAAAACAATTCAACATGAAAATAACTGATGCAGAAGTTCAATTTTCTGTCTCACCTTTGGGAATTCTTTGTGTGGAATGTATACTTTTGAGTTCAGTTTGCACTTCTTAGAGTCAGAAGTAACATCTAAGAAGTCTGAGAGCTTCCCTCTGCTAACTTGCTCAATTTCTAAAAAAAAAAAAAAAAAGAAAAAGGGGGAATATAGTACTTAGAAATAAGAACAATATTATTAACAATTTATTATTAATGCCTTCATTTCGTAAATTGATAAACTTGATATGACAAACATTTCTGATATCATACAAAAATGTATGATGTTAGCTAAACATACTACTGCAACAGCCATGGCACAAAGACCCTTTAATACAAATATTCTTCCACCTTTGCAATTTTTTTTGACATTAAGCTATTTACAAGCTGAACATTCTACTTTAAGTCAACAAACTGTCCCTTGACTGTGTTGGGAGGAAAAAGACCACAAATTCATCAGTAATCCTCAATAACAAAGTATCTTAAAAACATCAAGAGGCAAACATCAATCTTGATTTCACATCTGCATTACTAGATAGATGCTCAGATGACTAACACCCGATTTCCATAGATTTTTAGATCGATCTATCCCTGTGGGGAGTCTCACTAGATTACTGTCAGCTTGGCCGGCTTAAGCGTTTGTCCCGCCTACTAAAAGCTGTAAGGGGGTAATTAACTATGGTGCCCGCTCGGCTGACTGCAGTTTAGCGTGAACCCCCAGGGAGTTAGGTCGATCTAAATCTTAATCTTTAGATCGATCTAAATCTTTGGGAAAGCACCCTTATACCTTGTTCCTTGCAGTATCAAAGGCAGGGTTGGTCATCACTTGGGGGGGGGGGGGGGGAATAGAAAAGCCAGTTCTCCTGCAACATGGCCTACATAATACTTTCTACCATTGCAGCAATACAGCTATGCAGTCAGTGTGTGCAAAATACAGTCAAGTTTCTCTATAAGCCACACAATACAGGAGGAATAGATAATTCTTACAGTTAGCTCCAGAGATGCTTTTGTTGCTATTTGTTGAGTAAAATGCGTTGTGGGCGAGGAGGATGAGATTTGAACTCATGCAAGATAACCTCAGTGAAGAAAGTACAAAAAGAATTGATACAATTATTGTAATTATTGCTTTTGTTACAGAGTAAAGCACTTTATGACAGTTCTTCAAATTGGGCACTTCAAATCTTGCCTTGTATTTTTCAAGAGCAGAAATACTGGAAGTGGCACATTTTAGGACACTGAATTTTCAAATGAGTGACAAAAAACTTCCAAGTTTTAAAAACAAAAATACATTTACAGAGTCGTCAGAGCACTTATTTTCTTGGCTTTAGCCCAGTAGTTTCGCATTCCCTGCATGTCGACTGACCCTGCTGGACAACAAAGCGTTTTATTTCTTTTAACTGGCCCTCTAGGTCATAGGGCCAATAGGAAAACAAAAGCAAAAACATGAAAAAATCGGCCCCAAGAATAGAACACTAGTATTCTGAAACGGTTTTCTTTGTTAATTAGAGAATATACAGCGGGTAAATTTCGCCGGCTGAAGTTCGCCGGTTTGTAAACTTACCTTTGTCTAGCAGACGAGCCGCGTTCGGAAATGTTGTGTCACCAATGCTCTCTCTCTCCAACTTAAGAACTTCCAAAAGATCGTTGTCAATGGGAGGACCACTTGCCCCATTCTTATTACCAGGCATTTGGTTTGTTTGATTCATTTTTGATCGTCTTCCACTCGTACACGCTTTTACTCAAAATGGCGACTTGAAAGCTGCACGCACCTGCCGAAAATAGTTCGGAACTAGCAATCATATTAAGAAACAAGAATGGGAGAAACATTGAAGATAAATATCTATATTAATCTATATTAATCACCCAATGTTCTGAGATAAAAATCAACAAATAATCACATAACTCAAGAAAAACACATCTTTTACACATATATTCATGCGCATACACCAGATAGCGCCACTGAAGATAGCGGGCTCTGCAGTTTTTCAATCGTTACAAGTTTGATTTTAGTAAAGTGGGCGTTCGATTGACAACAAAAGCATACCATTAAGCAATTAAAAAAATATCCACTTGTTCATATAACATAGTGCCTCAGTAAAAAATTATTACTTAACAGTAGAATAACCATTGATGAATGGCTACTTCTAAAATATAGATTACAGGCGGAGATTGAAATTTCGCGTTTATGGTCATTTTGTAATAAAAAAACTATCAGAATGTAAATCAAAGCATAATAATAATTTGTCTTTCAGATGAATTTTCTATAAAATTTGTTTTCCATTTCTCTCTGTTTCAATCGTATTACATTCCTTCTTTTACTCAAAACCCGACACAGCATGGCGATTCACCGGAACGTGCACCTGGCTTCATTTAATGAACAAACGGGGCAATTCCACACAAAATCAGATACCAATTTTGATATAGAAATCAAAAAGGCTGCAGAAGGTGCCAATCTTATATTCTACTCAGGTAAGAAAGCAATCGAATCATAATTTCACTTTAAAAAAACCCTTTCAACATGCAGGACATAATCAGCTTGGTTCTTTTTGTTTGGGTTTTTGTTATGAAAAGTGTCTTTAAGGAATCTTGATTTTTTAAAGGAAAAGTGTTATCACTCTCGAGATATCAGTCTATTTCAGTGCATTTCATTTCCCTTTTGCTAATTTAGAATGGCGTTTTGTTCTGTTTCTAATGCAGTTTAAGTCCTAAATTATTATTTTCATTTCTTTGTATCTCCTGGCACGAAGATTCAGGGGAACTGCCGTTTGCATTCCAATTTACATTTGCGATATGTAATATAGGTCCTTATGCATGAAAGATAGAGATGCACAGGTCTGTAGGAAGGGCTCTCACATCTTATGCTTACCAATCACCTCACGCGCACAGCTGAAAAGCCAACCAGTTTTGGTCGTACAAAAATTCGTAACACAGCGCAATACAGTAGAAAAAATGACTCTGGACATGAGTAAATAGAGAAAAGGTCATTTGTAAAAAATAGGATAATATCTTTATGAAATATATTGCTAGGTAATTACATTGATCCAACTTAACAAGTCAGTACGAGAAGAGCCACTAGTGTTGTGTGGCCAAGATTGCAGATGACCCAACAATAAATGATAAAATATAAAAGTTAAAATTAATCATGTTTCATTTTAAACTAAATTATTTAATTAGAAATGGTACAAAACGTCATATCCAAGTACAGGGACAGGTTGTACAATGATTCGTGAGTAGAAGAAAATTGCTTTTTATTATTATTATTATTATTATTATGGTTTTTTTCGGAAGTCGGGGTTATTGCATGTCTTTTGTTTATTTATTTATTTATTTATTGTAATTGTGTACAAATGCTCCGGACTGTTGAGCACTCTGTTCCACGCTCACGCTTGTTATATATATATATATATATATATATATATATATATATATATATATATATATATATATATATATATATATATATATATTCACAATTATTCTAATATTATTGTCCAAAGAAAATTTGGGCACAGCGGAGTTTAATGCCCACCTCAAAACTGGTGTGGAACAGGGCAGTTTTCTGTGTACCCCTCACCTTCTCTTATTGCCCATTTTTAAAGCAAAGGGTTTTTAGAAAAATCCATTAAAATCTAGGATCTCTTGATAAAAATTTTTTCTGGTTAGTTAGCTCAATTCTTTGTATGTGTCAATCCAGCCACAGATAGTATTTTATAACATGCATAGTTTCCATCTGATTGTAATAGCCTAGACTGTAATATGCCCAGTTGTTTTGATAAACCGTAAAATAGGAATGCCCACGATTGAAAACTTACTAGGACTAGGAATATACTCTTTCCAGTAGAATTTCGCGAGTAAATCTGAATTTCGCAATAACAAAACTTGTTCTTGATTAATCCATGATTTGATAACCCTTTATTTTTGTCAGCAGAACATTCCACAGAGCAATCATATTTTGTTTCTATATCTTCCAGGTGGTCAAGTGGCATACAATGTGGTAGCAAACAAAAACACAGAAGTCTCTTCATTAGGCAGCCAGTCTCTAGTAGTGTCTCTTGATAGTGAGGGGATCCTTTTAAGGTTTCCCTCTCAAACCGGTATGTCATGTCTCATAATCTTATGATAAAGGATGGGAGTGTTCATTAGCTTATTATCCTTGAGTCTATTTTAAAAGAATATTTGGAACTGCATGAATTGTAAATTGTTAAATTATAAAAAATGTGATTTTGAAGTACTAGAATAAAATCCTAACTATTTAATTCTTTATTTTCCAGATGTTCAAGCATTCCAACTACAGTTGAATCAATACATAAAACCTGACAAGGGGTCAATATTTGAACAAAGGACAGAAGAGGCTTCTGCAGCACAATACTTTCAGGTAGGGCCATTTTTCCCAGTAACTGCTTTAGTAATGTTTCATGTTTGCAAAAAATGGGTATCTTCTTGGTTTTATAAATTGGTTTATTTTGCTCTATAGAATGATGTTCTAAGTAACTGTTAATAAGATAAGGACTGCAGAATTTTTGAAATATGTGCAGAAAGTGACTAACATAGCTTATGATAAGATTTCTTGTATAGACATTGCCACAAAACTAAATATGTTTGTGGAAGGAGATATTACAGGTGCTACAACTACCCATGAGTTGGTATTGAAAAGAGGATTACAGACAAAAATGAAACCATGCCTCAAAGACAATCTGCATAGATATATTTTTATTGTTTTATATGATACTAGGCAATGGACACTTATACTCTGAGGTTCAGTTTTCATTGTCTGATTTGATATTCTTAAGACTCCCCGTTTGGCTGGTTAACAAACACTGACCTATACGAGACATTATTGTGTCATTTCAATAAAAGTACAAAACAATCTGATTATTTTTGGTTTTGGTATAATGAAATTTTATGATTTATGTCAGACAAAACATTAAAAAAGACTACCTATCTGTGAACTATTTGAACTGTTTCCAGATAGAAAAGGGATGCTTGCGACTGATGCAATATGTTTGAGTGAAATAATGGTGTTGATCAGAATGTTGATTTATACTTTGTCAGTTGACAAGATCATCTGCTTGAAATCACTTCAAATACTTCAAATTATTAATAACACCATATGAAATACACTGCTGCCCCTGTGTATAAATTCTTCATTAATTATATGCTAAATAATGAATAAAAGCAAAGAATGTCAAATATGAATATACTGTATAGAAGATACTGAGTCCATGGATGATACCAGAATAGAAAGTGAACAGTATATATTAATGGTATTTACTATTAAGCACATGTTACAGTTGCCATAATAGATCCATTTAATTGTTATTTATGCTTGTTCTTATTCTGTGACACATCTTTATATGACATACAGCATAGTCAGGACTGCCAGATTTCCATCTGAAGCTGAGATTATATAATGACAATGAATACCTAAACTTTCATATATTGTGTTTGACTAACATTTGTATTTGATTTTATTTAAAATTTATAAAAATGTAATTTTTCAGTTGATCAGCTGTAATACCACTAGAATCCACATGCCATAGTTCAAAAATGCCATGTGAAAAATTCTGTTTGAGAAATATGGAATCTGCTTTTAACTTTTTGAATTCAGGGGCTGTAATTAAGACGGAAATTAGAAGGAAACAGACAAAATATTTCTAAAACTAATATAATGCGCCTTTTTATAAAGCATTTCATTGTTGAAAGCTTATAAATACCCCATTCACACTACGCTCAGTTATCCGGATAAGTTGCGAATTAGGTCACAATTCGAATAAATGCAGTAGTGTGAACGCAAGAGGATTTCTGTAATGCGAATTTTCAAAATCCTGCAAGCGAGGTGGATTTCTAAGTGCGATCCGAATAACTTACCGGAATCGACACCTGTACAGATCTTACTGCGCATGTGTGCAGATAAGTGCGGGTATCTATGAACTCTTGTTTATTACTTTAGCGATTGCACCAAACGTATTTGGAGGTCACCACTCACTACAACATGAGGAAACAAACTTATTTTGCCATCTTATGCTTCCCAAGAATGCTGGAATGTCTTTTTGAGATACATTTGCTGTCACACTTTTTTGTTGGTATTTTGAGTTTTTCTGTGCGGCGCATGCGCAAGTGTTCAAAACGGGAAGTTAAACCTGAAATTTTCAATGTGGGATTCGGATTCGCTTCGCAAGTGTGAACACAATGCCGAATCGGATTCCTCACAAAAAATCCGAATTATAGAAATGCGCATTTTTGCAACTGTAGGGTGAATGGGGTAAAAGATTTCAGGAATTTCCAATATATATATTCAACAAATAAAAAGTACATACATAATGTAAAGCTGTCACACTGGTCAACAGTTTTTTAAAATTATGTTTGATTAATTACAAAATGTTATGGAAGAAACTCAGAAGCACCCCAAAGCTGTAATAAATAAACCACTTTCAATATTGCTAATATATACATCTTTTTCCAGTTCTATGGGTACCTTTCACAACAACAGAATATGATGCAGGATTACATCAGAACATCCACATATCAGAGGTCTATGCTGGCCAATCCTGTGGACTTTAATAACAAGGTAATGAAATCATCCGAGATAGCATAAAATGAGACTATGGGCTGTCTCAAGTGATTCCCACACATCAGAAATATGTGCTGACCCATCCAGTGGATTTTGATTAAAAAAAAAAAAACACATCACAAATTTTTACTGACAAGTCTAGTTGATTTTAAAATGGCCATAATGCACATGTCAGAGGACCAAGCTGGTCAGTTTTGTAGATCTTTATGACAGAAAATATACTCGTCTGAGAATTCAGTGCTGGGCTATCTTGTAGAGTTTGATAAGGAGGTAATACTTACATCACCTATACAGCTATTACAGCCTCTGTTAGTCTGGCATCTGAATATAGATTTTTAATAATGCCATACACATATCAGAGTCCCAGGCCCTTCTTACAGTAATGCTTTGAATGGCAGTCTTGCAGCCCCACCCCCACCCCCCTTGTGATTAAAACCAGCATTCCTCTGGGACCACATCATTGACTTATAAACTTAAATTTATCAGCATAAAATGAGATGTTTTAACCATCATTTGGTTTAAATTCACTGCCAGAAGATGAAGCAATCATTTTTTTCTTATTGTTTGAAAGCCATCTCCACTAGAAAACATTTATGCATTTTTAGCCTATTCTGTAATTGTGTATATATCATATGTCTGTCACAAATGTATGAGAATCACTTAATTTTAAAACCTGCATCTCACAATTTGGCAGTGCACTAATTGGGTGTCCCCCTTCATATGATTCGCTTTTGTGGCTCTAGTCTTTATGATATACACGAAAGGACTGGAAACAATTTTTTGGTTAAGATTCTCTAAGATTGTACCTAGGAACCTGAAGTTTAATTGATATGGAATCACCTGGGTGATAGATGATTGTTATTTAGCATGGTGTTTTTCAATTCCCAATGCTATTTTTCTCTGAATGTGTTCAGTGAAATTCACCCCTAAATCAATTGTCTGATACTAAAGTGTAACTTTCCTAACATTCAGGTTGTTCTTGATGTCGGTGCTGGCTCTGGAATATTGTCTTTCTTTGCTGTCCAGGCTGGGGCCAGGAAGGTGTACGGTATTGAGGCCAGCTCTATGGCAGTGCATGCAAAGGTAAATTATCTAGACAGTCTTACAGTATGATTTTTTGTTTTTGGATTGAATCGTGTGGTATTACAGTCACATATTTTGTTTGGTATTAAATCATGTTTTGTACCCCATGTAAACGTGTTCTGAATTTGTAAAAATCTTGTAAAAGATTATTGATAATACATTATTGCATTTAGTTGCAATTGTAGACTTGAAAATACAATTTGTTCTTAGTGTTTACTGTTATTGTTTCATGAGTTCATTTTGTGAACTGTGCATTTTTTGAAAATGAAAATGTCTCTGCAGGAATTGGTGCACCAGAACAAATTAAGTGGCAAAATTGTGATTGTTCCTGGGAAAGTGGAGGAAGTGGAGATCCCAGAGCCAGTGGATGTGATCATCTCAGAACCCATGGGCTATATGCTGTTCAATGAGAGGATGTTAGAGAGCTTTCTGCATGCCAAAAAGTGGTTAAAACCTGGAGGTAAGGGAAATTGAATTAAAGTGATACTTGAAAATTGAACTGTGTAAATATCAGGATGTTAAATGTCATATTTCTTATCCCATTTTCTAAATCAAAGATATTTTTTACGCCATACAGTAAAAGGATTGATGCACTACTCCCAGGTTGTTGTCATTTAAGTTTAGTATACGTAACCATTCAGTACACATTAGAATCTGATAGAAATGTGTTTCTTGCATGTTTCCACAGACTGGCTTTCAGTTTCCATGACATGAAAACGTAATCTTTACCAGACTTCATGTTAACTTGCTTGTAGGTAAAATGTATCCTTCAAGGGGAGACTTACATGTAGCCCCATTTTCTGATGAAGCTCTCTACATGGAACAGTATTCTAAAGCAAATTTTTGGTAAGTATTTCCTGTTAAATGAGTAATAAACCATCTGTATATTAGCTATTACCACCAAAGGTACATGCAAACTTAAGCTTATATGTATATAAACTGTTAGAAATGCAGGTATCCATGGTGATTATTTTTTGGTATAAAATTTAATGGTCTTGAATACCCTGATCTATGAGAAGTTCAGTTATTTCAAGACAATTTAAACAATTCATAATGTCCTTAATTACATCCAATCAGGTACCAGCAGTCATTTCATGGTGTGGACTTGATGTGTCTAAGAGATGCGGCAGTCCAAGAATATTTCAAGCAACCTATAGTGGTAATATATCAAAATGAGCACACATGATATTTTATTTATTTTCATTCCTCAACATTACAATGCTGAATTCAGAAATACAAAAATGCAGAAGTGCTGAATTTTTAAAATAACAAGACCAAGAATGAATGTTGTGTTTTTAATAAAATTGATATTGGTCTAGTAGTTTTAATTTTGCACTGACACAGTGGTTATATAACAAGGATTTAAACTTGGAGTTCTCTTCACTTTCTTCAAACAGATAAATTGGTAAAGAATTGGCATTTTAGGATTATTATTATTTTGCTCTGGGATTACTATTTTGTTTATGTCATTGGCTTTTTAACTTCTACTTCTTCTTCTTCTTGACTAATATTTGACCATTTTATGATTTGTGGCACTGTTGGCACATATTCATATGTGATTGTATTTCTTATCCAGGATACATTTGACATAAGAATATGTTTGGCCAGGTCAGTGAAACACACTGTTGACTTCCAAACTGCTGCAGAGTCAGCCCTGTACACCATAGAGATCCCCCTGACCTACAGCATGCTGCAGACAGGCACAATCCATGGCTTGGCCTTCTGGTTTGATGTGGCTTTCCTGGGATCACAGTGAGTGGAGTGTATATGGATTTTATACATGAGCAAATATACTAGTTGTGCACATGGCTGAACCAGTGATTGAAGCAGCTTTTGATTTCACTGTGTTGATTCTTATATTAAATTTTGATATACATTTTAAATTGTTGTCATATTGCCTTCGTGTACTTTGGTCATTTGTTTCTATGTTCTTAGCATTGAAATTGTGTCTATCTTTGGAATGTTGTGGACAGCTTAACCTGCAGATTAAAGTAAAATGTGGAAGGTCTTTTCAATTGAATTTATTTACTAGGGCTTTTCTGTTAGATTTCATGTAAACTGTATATTTTTGAAAATGAAAATATTTGGGTAGTTATTATTTGATGCTTCCTTTGTTTCCAGACAGCATGTGTGGTTATCAACAGCCCCCACAGAACCGCTGACTCATTGGTACCAAGTACTGTGCCTGCTGCAGACGCCAGTGTTTGTCAAACAGGGGCAGACACTTACAGGGAAAGTGACACTCAAGGCCAACAAAAGGTTATACCTTGTGTCTTTGTGAAATGATGGGAGAGCACTGTGTCCTTACTGGGATGGAATGTTGAAAACAAAACTGGCTAGATATATTGTTAAAAAGAATATTTATCATTAAATAATAAGTGAATCTATGAATGTTGTATTTAGACTCTCACAGATGCACACCTGCACACAGGCAACATTATGATCTTTTATAAAACTGTAAAGTTCCTTAATTGCTTTAGTTTCTTTTACACATGTGTTCCTCATATTTTTAGACAAAGTTATGATGTGGAGATTGAAATCAACATCCCAGGGACAAATAACAAGTCGGTCAACTCTCTAGACTTGAAGAACCCCTTCTTCCGCTACACAGGCCATACTCCTCAGCCTCCACCCGGTCAGTCAACACAGTCCCCCACTGAGGCTTACTGGAGTACTATGCAAATAGGTAACTTTTAGCTATACTCCTTTTTCACTTTCTTTTTACACATTTAGAAATTGTAGGAATCTTTTTGAGTAATGCACTGTTCTCTCCATAGATTTACTTAATGTTATGTGATGTTTATATTTATATTTGTTTATAATTAGTTTCATTTCATTCATAAATTTGCCTTAAACACTTTCATGAAAATACAGCTGTCTTGTTTTAGTGGAGAAGTTTTCATGTAGTTTTGACAGTTATGATCCTAAAGATCAGTAAGAGCAATGGCCAAAGGTAGTTTGAAAAGAAAATGTTTCTAGACTATAGTGCTGACCTGTGTGTAAAAAATACACGAAGGATGATAGAAGTGAAAACCATCTATTATTCTTTATCATTTATCTAGTTAATAGTTTTGTTTGTTCACAATGTCATCAGAATGGTATATATGTAATAGTTCTGTAAAAAGAGATGTCTGTAGCAGTTCCTTTATGCAATTTAAATCAACTGACATTGACAGTATTCAAGTTGAGTGTAAAATGATTTGATGTACACTCAAATTGATGTCTATATTTAAATTTGGATGGTTAAGTTAGATGCAGCCCAGTTGATGAAGAAATTCAAACCTTAAGAACATGGTGTGATGTTGCTATAGCCCATTCTACTCCATGATTCAATTTTGAAGAGACAGTTATTAAACCACCATGTTAAACTGGTATAAGTAGGGTCATTATAACTATTGATGCCCTTGTTTGCACTACATTCTCTCACTGCACCAGTGCTCTTTAGTTGACAGTGTGTGTGTTGTCTACCTATTCCAGCCAGTGCACAACAGCTGTCCAATAACTTAGTGAATGGTTACGTCAATGGTGGTCTAGCTCACCAGCAGGGCGTGGTTCAGACAAACCTTGTGCCTCTTGGTAGGTGCTGCCACTGTCATATTGAAGGCTTGACTGGATTTGATTGTTGTATGCAGTGAACAGTTTTTGGAATATATTTCACAGCTCTCTTGTTATATTTGGGACAAAAGTACATTTGTGACTTCCGTCTTGGATAAAAATACTCTTTATCTATTGTATCTTATTGCATTTCATCTGCACTACATTAATGGATGCAGGTAAAAGATTTGGAGATTTTATTTGGCTAGAATTCTAAAATGAAAAGCAAAGACACTTGGATTTAAACGTTCTTACAGTGTTTATATTATTATTTTCAGCTAAGACTCTTACAAAAGTTTTAACTACTTTTCTAATAGTTTTTGAGTGTCTTATGTATGTTATATAAATGTGTATTTGTCATGAATTATTCTTGGCAATTTTCTGAGCAGGATATTTAACTTTCTTGGTTTTTCAGCTAATGCTGCTCCAGTGAACCCTGGCAGTATACCCAGTGTTGGATTTGTGTCTCAGGGTAATGCCACCAGAACGTCTGTAGGAGGGGGTATCTCACCAGCTGTATTTACTACACAAAACCATGTTAGTATCACCCTGAAATTTATGGAAACTGTACATTTACTTATGTACAGAAATTCTCAATACCATTGTTATAAAGATTTGTTCACTCTGTCTTTATAATCCTTTTTTGCTAGGTAATACATGACAATTGGAGTAAAGAATGGAAAAATTAGATCAATTAAAGTAAAATCCTGTTGAATGTAAACCTTAATTTAATAACCTTACATTCTGTCAGAAAAATGTGACTGTTATTATTCCAGTTCCCTGTGAGTAACTAACTCTTGGCATGTAATATGATTTTCAGCAGGGTCTAGGCCAGTCTAACCAGTTTCCCGTGAGCAACCAGTTCATGATAGGTGACTATGTGATGCCAGGGAACATCATGCTGCCTGACCAGTCACAGCCTATCAACATGAAGACAAATTCCAGTGTAGGACAGCATTAGCACACACCAACACCATGTATAGGCTTAAAGAGGCTGCGAACTTTAGGGAGGGGGGTTAGGGAAAAGAAGGTTAAATTTAGTATTTTGATAATGTTAAGCTTGCCTTGTAGATTTTACTTTCATTGTCAACTCACATCAGCTTGATAAGTGGCTCCCAGCACCCATTACTATACTCCATACTGTACAATTATTCCTGAACAATAAATAAAGCAAATGAAGCCTGCAAGTGCAACATTATATATATATATATATATATATATGGTGGTTGCCAGTGCAAAGATGATTGACAAAGAATAATGAAGGGAAATGCTCTGTCTGCTTGGAGTTGATTTTTTGTCTGAAAAATGTAGTTCTCTAAGATAAGAAATGATGGTGTGATCACAGGCATTACATATCTGACAGCAATACAGCTAGTAGACCACAGTGAATGGTAGCTGCTTAGATTATTTTCACTTCTTAATATAGAATAAAAAGGTTTACATTTGAATACTGAAATCCTAAAAGTCTTTTGAGGTCTACATTGCAATTGCAGGCTTGTCCATGCTGTTACAACTTGTGGGGAACAAAACTAAATTGGAAGTGCTAGAAAGCTTATGCAGCTATTATCACTTTTATCAAGAACGTATTAAGTTTTACCTATTTATCCAAAACCTTAATGAACAGATGGATTCCTGTCAGTCCACAAGATCCTGTTATAAAATATTTTGATAGAATGAAGTAGATAGAAAATATTTTCAAGATTGGCACAGTATAGAATTCAAATTGTAGTAGTGCATGACGAGCTGAGGGATTCTATTTAAGCTTGCTCTGCCTGTTTGTCGAATCTACTAAGATGCTTTTGAGGCAATCATTACTACATGGCTGCTTCTGGTGACTTAAATTTGGTTGATTTTCATCTCACTGATATACCTAACAACCAAGGAACATTTCAAAATTGGTGAAAACTAAGAGGGTTGTTCTTCTTGTGTTTAAATGTTAATTGATAGTTGTCAGAAGAGATGCTGTTGCTTTTGAATGGATTTTCTGCTACTCAAGGCTGTATATTACAATAGATGAGGGTTAACAGGGACACAAAGGTTATGTATATAAAACATTTCAATGTATTTGATGAATTTCAAGGAATTTGATTACAAAAATCTCAATCAGGTATCACTTTTGACCTGGTACTCATACATTGTTGTAAAAGTCAGGATAAGAAATTTTAAAGAATCTGAACAGACACTTTCATTTGTAATAAAATTGTTTCTGATAGGTGCAGTTCCTTTTTGGTAAGTGTCATATGTGCATTCATTTTTAAATGGAATATGATACATTTTTTCCAAGGAAATTCTTCTAAAATTAAGCTTTACCCTATTATTTTCACAAGTTGTACATTGCTGGATTTGGTTTTGAATTTGAAGAATTAAGAATATTTTGAAATTTCGTACAATCGAGATTATATAATTGCCATTGCTGTGCAATGAATGCTGCATCCCAGTCTTGACTTGTAGATAGTTTCTCATACCTGACGTAACAAGTCTCATTATAACACAATTGTAAATAAATGTAAGGTTTGTTCATTATTGTCATACTGTGTATAGAGGGTTAAAAAGACACTTGGGTGGAAAATGAGAAAGACCGATAAGATTTTTTAAATGACTTGTAAGCACAGCACCACATCCAAGAATGACACTTAATAAAAATAAAATGGCTAATCTATAAATTAGTATGTACTTAGATATTCCCTTTATCAAATGTGACAAGTACAAGGTATTTAATATTTCACCCAAGGATATACTGATGTTATAATTTGAGAGAAGCTAGTATTTGCTTGCTTGTCTGTACTACGACCAGAACAAATTTTAAACAAGTCTTTCTAATGTTACACATATATCTTTATATATATATATTTACATATTGTCAGTGATACTTCAGTTTGATAGAATTTCAAAGTTTCAACCAATGGATATTATTGCAATGTTATTAATATTGTCACTATATTGTTCATAGTGACTTGGCAAATAATAACTTTTAAAACAACTTTGTTTGCTTTCTTGAATTACATTTCAGCAGTTGCTGGTTCATGGGTCATTTTGTTCATACTTTGTTGCAAAGCTACTTCTGTGTCCCAACGGCTAGCCTGTTGTTGATATGGCTGCTCAATTACACTAATACAAGTGTCATTCCGCACATGTTCAAAAGCTTCATCTCTCTCTATGCTTAAGTTTGAATAAGGCAGCAAATCTGTCAAATGTACAGACACACAGCAGGAAAAAATGTCCATTTTCAACACCTTTTACATAATATAAAATAACCAATTTACTGTCATTTTTATATGATCAACGAAATTGATGAGATGGAAAAAATATCAACAGAACAATTTACGTCCAATTTGCTCCATTCTGAAATTCTGAACATTTCTGACCCTTTATTACACAATACTCGGTAACAGATTCACCATAATTTTTGTATAATCAACTAACAAAATTGTTTAGATGCAGAAAATGTCATGTATCTTATTAGTTCAATAATGAGACTGCTAACATGCTGAAGACTTTAATCTGAGGAAAAACCACTGTACAAAAAAAAAATTATAATAATAAAAATACAGCATAACTTCATCAAAACTAAGCCGATCAATATAATTATCCATCTGTAGTATAGTCCTATTAATTAGTCCTGCAAGTTTTAAAGCAAATTGTAACAGTTTTCATGTTACTTGTGTAACAGTCAATAGAACATGCTACAATAAAAAAAAAAAAAACTTTGAAAAAAAGTTTCCATCAAGCTGATTTTCAAACTTGACCTGTATTTTGTCATAATTCTTTGGAAGCGTTCATCTGCAAAATTTTCACTCAATAAGTATTTCATTGTCTTGCATTACACCCATCTTAACCCGTCTTAAAATTGTGCCTTTTTTTATAACCAGGAAAGGTAAAATATGTCTCCTTTGACAATTAGAATCCTCTGTTGTTATTTCATAGATTTTGACCAAATCTTCAGTTTTTTTGAAAAAAAAAAAAAAAAAAAAAAACTCCAATCTTAAATAACACAATGGTGAGCGCCCTTTAGTGAGTCCCCAAATACACAAAGGATTTAATAAGACGACACTGTGAAAAATCTCTCTTTAGAAGCAATATTCACTGGCAAGTGATATACAGAAGCAACATTCACTGGCAAGTGATATAAAGATGCTGTATGCCAAAACTCTGTGTACAACTTTCTTTACTGCATTAGTCCCATGGGTGCTGTAATCTTTCTTTTTTCAAAGTTTCTATCTTCTTCACCTCTGGTACGGGTGCAAACTGGAGGCTGATTTGATATTGGTTTTTATGGAACTAGGGGCTTTCATGCTACTGGAAGCTAAAATGAAATTGTAATAATTTAAAGTGGTGAATAATTCTGTACCAAATCAAAATAATGTTTTTGTTAAAGCTATGCTAGAATATTAAATCTTATTTAAAATGAAGTTAACTTGAGCACTTCTGCATCTCAACCTCAAGCTCTTTTAATCATTTAGCTCACCCTGTCTTCCTGGTTGAGCATGTTCTGCAGGAGATGGTTGGGACTGGCTGGAATGCACATTCTCACTGCCTGACTTTAAACCTTTACCAAAGTTAACTGCAGCCAGTAAAGTATTTGTATCTGCTATGGAAGATGTCTGTTGTTGGCTGGTTTTCTGAGCTATAATGAAAAGATTATGAGGATTACAATTTGCAGTGAAATAAAAAATAACCTGACAAAATTTTTGTTAAAGACATGATTTATTGGAATACGTATAAGACACAACTTCTTAGCTTTTCTTTAGATGGTGACACAATACTTACCTAATTCCCACTCGTCTCTAAAGCTGGTGATCATGTCCAATAGTTGTGTGCTTATTCTGTTTACAGCATTCATCTGTTTCTAATAAAATGACACAAATAAATTACTCGCAAAAATAATCTAGTTTTCCTTTAAATTCAGAACTATTATGAATTGTGTAATTCACATATAAAATAGTTATATTTAATTATCAGTTATATAAAATAATCCATACACTTATTTAACTTAAAAAATATTGTCACTTTATGTTGATATTCAAGCACTTTTCTAAAGTAATCTGTAGGCATAAAAAAGACATTTAGCCACCCTCATTTACTTGATCTGTAATATAATAATTTGTACCTGTGCATTTTCCACAGTCATATTAGAAGCCTGTTTACTGATATGTTGCTGTCTTTCCTCCACATCTGGTTCTGGCTTTGTCCTCAGGTAATCTGGCACCACCTCATGGTTGAAGGCAAGGACTCTGCCTTCTGTCAATTTCTAAAAATTCATATGTAAAAAATGTAAGAATATAAACAGATATAAACAAACTTGAATTTATAATCAAAATGTTACATGCAGAATACAACCTCAATAAAAAGGTTAACAGTTTAAGGGTAACAGGGTGGCAAAAATGAAATCATAGTTAAGTTTGGGGATATGTGCATAGGGTGTCAGGTGGGGCAAATTATGTGGCGTATGTCTTTGGTAACAGTGTACTCACTTCTAAGTCTGCATCCCTGTCTGGTGAAAGCAGCAATGGCAGCAAAACATAGTTTCTCAATAGAGGGGTTTTCTCATGTTTAAGAAGTTTGTTTAAGGAGCTGATCTGTCCAGAAAGCAGAGCAAAGCTGTCTAAGACTGAAGGCCTGAAAACAAATTTTACATGATATTATAATAATTACCATGTTTATAAAATGTTTATTTCTATATAAAGATCTTTTTATTGTCATTCATGTTTCATAAATTGTGCAACTGTGGCAAATCATGGACTTTTTATCTATTCTTTTTGATAATCCTTACCAGTTTAGAGTATACTCAGTTTCCAATTTCACCAGCAATGCAGACAGGGAACCCTTGAGATCTTGCACTCTTTGTATGGTAGCCTCCAGAGAGTTGTCTAATTGTTTTTCGTCTCGCTGAAATTACAAAGAAATATCCATGTCTATGTACTAGTAATCTTAGAATGCATTCAGAACAGTGGACTAATAGATTCCCAGTTCAAATATGGCGACCTACTGAAAAGACAATGGTTTAATTCAGAATTATACACTGAAAAGATTTCCTGCAGGGATTACTCATTAAGCATTCAAGTGGGTCAACCACATTTGATTGGTGGATCTGGATACTTGATCCCTGTTTTGAATGAGGTCTTAGTCTCTAAATTGTCACCTTAATCCAATTGATGAATCTAAAAAAAATCACATTATCTACCAGTTTTTTATACAGAGCTTGGTTGCACAAAAATTTGTGCATCAGTACTCCCATTTCAGTTTTTTGATAAGATAGGCACTAAATTATACGTTCTAATGCACGAAGGATATGGTATAATGCACTATTAATGGTGTTCATATAGCATGTCTTGACACAGCAGTGTGCGACTTAAGTAGGTAAGAGATAGGCAAAAGATTTGAGACTCCCACCCCCCACCCCGTATCTAGACAGACGTGCTAGCTGATTGTTATCTAGATACTTCCATGTGCCTTACCACACACAGAACATGTAAAGGCAGTTATAATAATAATAATAATAATAATAATAATAATAAATAGTTAATGCTTAAGCATTAATTCTTAATGAAATAGACTAAAAATTGAAAAGGCTTTTTCCCTCAGATATGGAGCTCTCTGTGTGTGTTTTAAAATTTCAAGTCTTTAGCTGAGCCTAAGAGAAAAATCATGAAAGGTAAACATTGTCATTGTTCAGCTTCTTGTAAAACCAGTGTGTTTTTATACCAGAAACATCCTAGAAAAATATGAAAAAGATCCTAGTTCATACGAAATTGTGAATTAAACTTGGTTATCATATAACAAATTAGTACAGTGCCACAATTTAAATAAATGAAAATATACTCACTTGCATGTTCAACTTTCCCGGAAGTTAAATTAAGTAGAGTGAGCATGCGCAACCTAGATAATTTTAGGTCAACCTATAATGGAACTCCAGGGTACTTCCCAAGTTGTATTTCAAAGTTGTCCTAGAATGCTTCCATGTACTGGTGACAGACATCCAAGCAAATCATGGTAGACGAAGACGTAAGTGAGCGGCAGGGAGAGGTATGCATGATTTAAACTCCCCATAACCAAATATTACAACAATCAGAATCACGTGTTTTGGTGTGATGCCTGGTGTGTGTTTACAAACTTTCTGCTGTAAGTTAGGGTGATGAAATGAAATGGTTCTGCTAGTGATTTATGCATTTATATGCTTGTATTATGCTCTTATGTTTATGGTTCCTTATACCCGTTATAAGCTCTCTATATAACTTGTGTATCATAAAAGACGTGTCATGCGGACACCACCTGATATTATTAAAACTGTGACCCTGATTCAGGCTATGTCCATGCAAGATGCACATGATTTCAGTGATAATATGCCTCAATACTTTGTCCTGAGGAAGGCACCTGTTATCACACATGCAGTCTTCAGGATATGATACATGTTTCCTTATAGACAGCTCCACTCTTTAGTGGTTAATGGTTAATTGTGCCCAGCATAACACGTTCCCATGAAAAAAATCATAAATTGCCACTGTCTTGGTCTTGATTATTGAAAGTAAACATCATCATAATAATAATAACATAATACTTTGATGTTTACTGTTATTTTGTTTTAGATAACTCATCCCCTCTGCTGGTAAGTGTTACACTGATAGAAATAGAAAAGAAAGCAAAACAATAAATATTAATTAAAAAAATTAGAATAACTAGTATCTATATCCAAAGGGACCAAAATTTTGAATTAGGATGTATGCATGTCTTCTATAATATGTCAATCCCAAAAAAATTCAAGAAGAAGATAGGAGAAATCACAATGTGTAATAGTAATAGTAACCCCCCCCTCTCAGGGATACCCCCTTCCTGCGGCACATTGAATTTTTGAAGGGCCCTTGCACATCCCTGATGGCCGGTTCTATCACTCTCCAAAGTTTCAACTTTGTTATTCTTTTGGTCTAGGAACAGATAGAAGAAACTAAAAATTCACTGACAGATCCTCAGATTCACAAAATGGTGGTTTAAAATGGTCCCTAGTGCTTTTCACAAGAGTGCAGGGATAAAAACTTTTTTCATAACCATTATAGAGTATAGTATAAAATGAGGGGTTGACTTGAGAATGATTTTAATCTTAAGCTTAACCAAACAGCTATCGTGGAAATAACTGTTCTACACTGAAAAAATTGTGATCAAAACTGCACCCTCTAAGTCTTAATATCTTTCAAATTTTTGTTTTGAAATTCGAATAATTACTTTGGTGTTCCTTTTCAAAATGCTTATGAATAAAGTTTCATTTAATTTGGCAGTTATCAGTAGAATACACATCTGACTCGTACCTTTTTTTGGCAAATACATACTAGTAACATGGAACCCATGTATAATAGGAGTACATTATAACAGAGTGGGAGTACATTATAACTTCACATTTCTTCATACCTTTGATCCAAGAACTCTACACATTAGTAAACAGCCTATGGCACAAACTGAGAGAACAACTGTTTAATAGAATTTCACTTGTCAAAATGGTGTTTTTATTATTTGCTTTCCTAAACAAGCTGCACATCTTCCAGATCCTGGAGGCAGGTAATGTGTACGTGCTGATGAAAAGGGAGTATAGGATCTCAAGAAATATAAGAGCACTCTGGTATTTTGGGCACCTCAATCAAGTCATTGAATATACACCTAAGTCAAATCTGGTAAGTGTTGAATGGAAAAAAAAACCTTATGTAAGCATTAAACACAGGGGGAAGGTTAAAAATGTAAAAGATAGCATGAACTTAATAATATATAATTTATATTATTTCATTTAAAACAAGTTTTTTTCCTAAATGTTATAGATTTGTTTGCCAAATAAATATATTTGGACTGAGTAAATGAAATAATTGTAAAATATATCTGCATACATCTCCAGTCTGAGTACACACATGAGATAGAAGTGATATCAGTGGTTCCCAGAGAACCTGCCAGGATACAGAAAAGGGGAGGGAAGAGGCCTCAGTACAGACTGACCAGTAACACAGTGCTCACATTCTTTGCTAGGCGGTATAGATTGGTGTATGCACTGGACCTCAGTCCGTCTTCAGGCTCTGTGGTGAGTGACAGGAGAGCATTTACTTTAGATATAGATTAGGGGTCACAGTAGTGTACATCAACAAATAATCTATAAGTGGCTTCTGAGGTCACTATGATGGATTTTTGCTTCACCACATAACCAGAAATTTTCCCGTTTTTGAAAAAAACTACTTACTTTACATTTGAAACAAGCTTAGAGGTCTTGTTTTCACAAGATTATAAATTCACCTTGTAATTTGCTACTGGGCAGTGTTGATTTCAACATTTCGCCTGACATGATATCAGTGTTTATATTTAAGCTTTGTAATATAGTAAGAAAAAGGTATCTGTGAGGAAAGAGTATGTTATTGTGTTTATGTATTACCTATTACATTAAAATATAAAATATTTAGTAAAGAAAATCAAAAGAATAGATGTATATTTTTGTATGTTATACTAAGACTTCATATTATTAGAAATAACTATTTATTTCAGGATATCAACCATTGTTCAGTTTTGATAACTGAAGTATTTTTGGCTCTGAAGAAATCTCTCCTTGGATTAGCTCAACCAGTAAGTATGCTACTGCCTTATCTGGGATTAAGTCATATAATTTGCCTTATTGGTTGTCTTTCATAAACTATGGCACAGATTGAAGCAAAATTTGAGAAGATGTGTTTTAAATTATCAACAACTATTCAGTATCATTTGACCTGCTGTACAGTGCTTACATAAACAGCTTTTGTAACCAATTAACATTTCATTAAAGGGCTAAATTCAAAGAATTCCATCAGCACATAATGTATCCAATTTTGAATTTTCAGTTAATCAGAGTAAAATCTATTTGTGTTTCAGTTCTATATCCCTGGTAGCTTGCTGAGAATTGAACCTCAGCTTTACATCACAGTGGTCACATATGCACCAATTGTTAGCTGCAAGGCTAAACAAGTAAGATAAAGATTGGTTCTTCTTACAGTCCAACATTATCAAGTGTAGTCTTGCTTTTACAATCTAATGACTGTTATTTGGATATAAACTATGAAGTATACATAATTACAGTGTCAGCCTTGTACATTGTGTTTTAACAAATATAGCATATAAATTTGGAAATGCATAATCTGACACTCTTCAGGCCCACAACACGTGCAACTGCTTTAACTTGATCAGACAGTTTGTCATATTTTCATGACATTTTGCATTTTTATCTTGTTTATGGTCTTCATTTTTTTCTATGTTTTTTCTTCTCTTTTATGCACAGGTTCTTGTACAGGGTTGCCATGTCACACATGAGAATGTTGAAGAGTTCCTGGCAGTGATCAAAGAGAAGATAACTGAGTTGGAAAACTATATGGCACAGAGCTTTGAACCATTTGCCAAGGAGATGCCAAGCTTTGATGTGAGTTGGAGAACACTGAGTAAAGTATTTCACATGAAAATGTTTTTTCCAGAGAAGACATTTTCCATTTCTCCTAGCAATCATCACACAGTGTTTGTTGCATTGTACATACCAAATGCTTTATTGCTTATTTATAACATTGCTTCGGAAGGTGAAGGAAAAATGCTGAAAAACTCACAAGCAAAAGTGGTGGTTTGGATACATCCTACCCTGCATCCACTTTGCAGATGTAAACGGGTGACATCTTAAGATGTTGTTGGTTTATAATATGCCAATTGGTATATTAAAGCTGTGTTACCGTGGATTTATAAGGTTCCATTATAAAATACACTTGTATACATTGATTTTTAAAATATTAATTTTTAATATTAATTGATTTTCAATTAAACCTTGAAAATGTATCACACCTGTGGTATTTATACTGGCTTTAAGTGAAGAGAGATCAAGCCAGTTACATTATTTTTATTTTTAAAAAGTTGTTAACTCTAATGCTTGTAACTGGGCTTACTCTGAACATAGATTCAGGTGTTAAGTTAATTCTGGAAGAATAATTTCATCTTTTTGTGTACTATCAAAATTTGATGAAGTACATAATAGAACAGTTCAATTTCTTAATCATGGTTCACAGGATGATGAGAGTGTGATGTTTGGCTTGTATCCAAAAGAAGATGGCAACCTGGCTGATATGGACCCTCAGCCTGACTCCATGGTGGCAGCAGACTCAGGGTTTGTCAACCTGCTCAGGTACGGCATCCTGGCACTACAGTTGTTACCTGAAAACAGCAGCGCAGGTAAGTGCAGATTTTTACTGTGAGGTAACAAGTAACATTGTCATTATCTGTAACAATTAACACAAGCTCAGATCTATACATATATTAGTAAATAGTATTGTTTTTTTACAAGGCGAATATTCTGTTACCCATAGGTATCATTATCATCACGGATGGAGTTGTCAGTCTTCCTGATGCCCTGATATTTGAGTCATTGCTGGCGCAATTGAGAAACAGCACAGTCACATGCTCTGTGCTGCAGATTGGAAGTGGTTGCCATGCCAACAATAACTTTGGACTAGTACCTTGTACAGAGTTGCTGCAATTTCTTGCCAAGGCCACATTTGGTGCTTACTTCAAGGGGCCTCCTGTCGTGGTAATCTGAAATAGTACATCTATACAAGTGATATAAAGCTTTTGTCAAGTTCTGTCTTTTTTATGGCTTTACCTGCTGCCCAAACTTTTTTCTTTGGGAGCTGATTTGACAATGCATTACTCACCAACCAAACTTTAGGAAGACAAAAGATCTGTATATTTCTCCAAGCTCAGAAAGATGCTTAAAAACTCAAGGTGTTCATCTTTACGAGTGAAGAGATTGATTTTGTCTTTAATTCTAAGTGTACATATTCCAGACTTCCTCTGACACATTTGAGATGAACTGCTATCATAAAGCTCTGTTTGGATGGAAATTCAAGAATGCCAATCTTAGTATGGAACTAGATGGATGGGAAGATGTCAATTTTGGTGTCAGGTAACAAAACACATTCTTGGTTGTGATACTTGAAAACATTATTCTTGTCTTTGTCAACAAAGAAGGCTACATTTTCATTCAATATCAAAAAGTTCTTAACCAATTTAATTGATTTTTTTTAATAGACAGTTCCAGAGGAAAAGAAATGAATATGGGTCTTTTTTTTTTTTTTTTTACATTTTGCCTTAGTAGATGTTGTTCTCTTGGTGTACTCTCCAGTGTTAAGATTTTTTTTTTCACATAAACATTATATACACTTTGGAATCCATCCCTTATACACTTTGTCAGCCAGTCACTTTTACTTCATATTTCATATAGCAATTAATATTGGACATATAGTGACAAAGAATTTTCTCATATAATCAAGTAATAATATCATGTATCTTGTGATTTCTAAATGGCCAGGAAGCCTCTTACCCTGGGCAATCATTCAGTTTGGGAGTCCCCACCCATGAGGAAGAAACACATGGAAAAAAACCTGCATGCCAACATACTAGATGTGATATCAGTGAGGCTAAGAGAAGGGTTCACTATCAAAAATGTAGCCATCACCAGGGGTAAGTTAGTGTACCAGTTTTATGCTGACACACTGTGCACTTGAAGAATTTAAGCAGATTCTCTACAATTTTTTTCTATCAGTATAAGTATATATTGGAATAAAAAAATATAATGGTTTGATTTTCAGGAGAAAGTCAGATTGAGGTCCATCTTGTGTTGCCATGGAGAGACAATGTTAGGATAGAGTATCTAGCCATTGCTTCATGGCCTATCATCAGAGAAAGGTAAGTTATAGTTAATGAATAGATAAGGTGAATACCCTTATATAAACACTGATATGTTCACTTGTATATTGTGAAATAAGTTTTAATGAACATCCTGTGCAAGAAATGGGGACAGTTTTGATATGTTTTCTAGCATTAGAATTTTATGGAAGCAAAGCACAGAAAACATAAAGTGTGATTCTGATTTTTCCTCCGCCCTGAACCCTGAACATGTGCAACACATTGTGGCCAATATCTTTCTCATTTAGTTATATCTAAATGTCATTTTGATGTAGAACTTTCAAAAAGGCACCAGGACTCGGGTGTATTTTTTTGTTTTCTGTGGCCTCTTTGATTATTTTCAGTTAATGGTGAAAATTATAACACTGCAAGTTTTCAGTCATTTATTATGTTTAGAGTTTGTCATTGTGGTTGAGAATGTGTTTAATATTTAGCAGGCTGTTAACAAGCTGTCATATTTCAGTTTATGTGCTCACTTTTTTGCTTGTCTTCCCATTTCTTTTCTTTCTTTTTTCCTAATTTTCTTAGCTTTGTCATTTTTCTTTTAGCAAGTCAAAAACAGACACTGTTTCATTTAAAGTGATGGAAGGGAGGTTAGTTATGAGCTTTGTGGTCTGCTTTTTGCTCTAAAGCAAGGGACTATATATTTGTCTATCATTTGTGTTTGTGCCTTATTTGGGTTTCTTAGTTCATTTTGCTTAAACCAATTGTGCACCCACCTGATCTTTGCTTTTCAAATAAATATATTATAAGTTTTATTTATCCATTTTTTTGATAAAATATCTTATAATTATTGACTTTGGAATATGAAGATCAATCCAATAGGATTTAAGATGTTACTTCATCAGAATGTAAAGGTTGTTGAAGAATTAATTTACCCCTTCAAACATGATCAGTTTGCTTTGATTTTATTGATTTAAGACTCATTTCCTCACCTAATTTTAAGGTGTACAGCATACACATCCTTCCATATGGATCCACTTCTTCACTTCTTTGCTGATTTTGCTTTTTATTTCTTACCAGAGCTGAACAGATATTCATATTCAAAGCCCACTGCTTTTAAGATTTTCCCTCTGTTTTTGCTTTCATGGATCAGTGTTTTTCTTGGTGAAACATCATCAAATTATCAGTATTAAGGCCCATGGAATGAATTGGTTTATGTACTTTTATGATTATAGGTAATAGATAGTTATAAAAATTGTTAGCTTTCTGTAATGACAGATAGGTGACTACAGGTGTTTAAAGAAAAACTCGGGATTCTGAATACTAATAGTTTTTAATGTTTGTTGGGGTAGGTAACTTGACTTTGCATTTTCAAGTGGACAAAATTTGCATAGATGTTGTAAAGTAATATAGTTTTGTCTTAGTTTTTTGTTTTGCTTTGTGACTTATTTTGGAAGGATTGGTTTTTTAGTGTTATATGTTTGCATGGGTTTGTGTATTGTCACAATATTACTTTACAAATTGCCTTCTTTTGCATTATCTTTGCTATTTTATGCAAATTTTTCTTTTATGGCCATGAAGGATAAAGTTATATATTTACATTTGAAACAGCCAGAGTAATTGTATTCAGCTGTTTTTATTTTTTATCATTTGATATCTTTGTTATGAATTGAACAGAAAGAAATGATGTGTGAGTGCTTACATTGTTGCGCATGTGTGTGTGTAAATTTAAATTAAAATAATAAGTTTTTATTGCCTTATTTGATGTCTTTTAGGATGATGACCCATGTTGAGGTGACGACAGAGGGCTGCTACGAGTTCCTTCATGATGTGACGTGCACACAAAAGAAACCATTCAGGAGTCCCTACCGGACAGCCATGGTCAAAACTTTCTGGCTCATGCAACAGGGGTAGCTTGACCAACCAGTGTCTTTCATCTTGCAGTAGTTATATGCAGTGATTTAGAGGAAAGACTACTGTACCATGATATGATATGTTGTTGAGCCTGTCTTGTTTGTGTCAATAAAGAAGTACAGGAGGTTAATGATATACATATAAATTATATATATTATTTGTGACATATTTTCATTTCAATTTAAATACAAAAATGTATAAGACGCCACCAGAATGTTTTATTCATAGTCAAGAATTGTCTATATAGCTTTGAATATGTGGTTTTGTTTTATTTTTTAAAAACATGTTTATTCTATTTTAGCCTAACTCAAGTTGATCAGTTGATGGTGCATATCCAATCCTTTGCCAGCAATCCAGCCTTCTACACCATCCCTGAGAACATCAAGAGTGGAGTGCCTTTGTTTGTGTTACCCACCAACTCCCCCAGTCCTCAGCTCTACATACAGCAAAGCTCAAAGTGAGTGTTTTGTGAAGGATAGACTTTGGTTACCAGGCTGTAGCTGTAAAACATAAAGTAGCTTACAGTCAGAGTTTAAAAATCAACTAATTAAAGAGTTAATTGAGTAGATTAGGCTAATGTTGATGTTTCTTGTATTTTGTTTGTGGATATCGTGGACAATTTCTTCTTTTGAGAGTTTGTAAAGATGCTTATCCTATTAAGATTCGTTACAGTTGATGTTTTAAAGTAATGTCTTTACTGATATCACTTCATTTTTTCAGGGACACGGCTCTGTCTCAGTTTGCTTCATTTTGGAAGCCAATTATGATGCTGGACATCAATATATGGCAAGTAAAACATGCAAGAATCAAATAAATTTAAAAAAAAAAATTGGAATAAGAAATAAATGTGGTCTTGCTGTCCTGTATAGTATGAATTGCACATTTCAGTTCAATAATAAATTGGTTGTTACAATTGTTTTATGCAGGCAAAAGTGGATGCATACTCATCGCATAGGCATCATTCTGGAGCATGACATGCCATTGCCCAAACACCTGCATATCCCAAACTCCAACAGCCGCTTCAATACTGTGATGTGCAGACAAGCTCTGACCTCCATGAATGAGTTGCTGAAAGACTGGAGCAGCTTCATTCTGATGGAAAACCATTCTTATATCAAATTGATTGGGTAAGCACTTAGCTTGAGAGGTATGAAAGAGTAATTGACTAAATTTGAAAATTTGTTTATTGTGGTAAGTGATACCTGTACAAATAAAGCATGTGCACAAAACATCCTTTGTTGGACTCTATAATCTGTATTTATTATATTTGTATATTTAGTGTATTTGTATAAGTGTTAGATTTTGCATATGATCTTACTTTGAAAAATGAGAAATCCTTTTACAAATGTGTCATAGACTGAATGGAAAAAATCTTCAGCTCACCTGTTTGCAGTCTGCATCCTATATTTCTATGTGATTAGGGAACCAGACAAGCCTCCCAGCTCATTTTATGTGATCAGAGTGACATCCAAGCCCCCATGTATGGTGCTGAGGGTGGCCTTCCCCACAGGGACACCTGGACACAAGAGGAATGAGGTAACAAGTTTATTATGACATCCAAGCCTCCCTGTATGGTTTTTGAAGGCTGCCTTTTCCTAGGACTTTAAGGATAAGTGAAATGAGGTTGTGTGACAAAAATTTGATGAGACTTTATTTTGATGATATAAGCCACACAAAACTTGTGCTGCGACCGACAGATTTCTTAAGTCAAAGAAATAGATTGAAAATTAATAGTTTTTTTGGGGCTAGTTATTGAAAAATGGATACAAGGTCTATTTCTAGGGAGAAATGAGCTTCAAAGTAATATTGAATGTTCAGCCTAAATGTAAAATGATGTATATTTGCTTTCTAGATTGTGAACAAAGTGAAGGCCAAGTTGTTGACCCTGAACTTCCCCCAGCGTGGCACTCAGAAGGAGGGCCTGTCTCAGACCCCTGGTCACTCTCAAGTGACCAGTCCAGTACAGGTTTGGAAGCCACCTCTGCAGAGACAGAGGGCAGAGATACGCTGCTGTATTCTCATGAACAAACCAGTGGAAAAGATCTTGATCAGGTTTATATAAGTTTTGACATTCAAGATAATTATTTTATTTAGAACAGAATGGGCTATTAGACTTTTTGTGAGTATTTGTTAATTGGTTATGAATTTTTGGGATTGTTGAATTTGAAATGTATTTTCTTACATGAAACATTTTTTATCAACATATTGGGAAGTGTGAGCATCAAAAGCATGAAACTTCTAAATTTTCATCAGTAAATACAAACATTTATAACTATGTTTGATTCTCCAAGGTACGAAAAGATCCCAGAAGACTTTATGTCCATGGAGAACCCTTATCGTGATTCTGCCCAGCTGGGGATGACCCAGGTCAGTTTGACTAAGTCTGCATCCAGTCTGTTCACCACATTGTCCAAGTACTTGTACCACAGGAGGTGGGTGTGGTCAGTCCAAGACAAGCTCTCCTCTCCACCAAGTCTACAGGCTATAGGCCGAGTGCTCACAACACTCTCTAAGTAAGTTTATCTTACATTATGTACATAATTATAAGATTGGGATATTTTAATGGATGTCAGTCAATGATAAGGTAGTTCATAGGCTAACATCAGATTAATTTAAGGTTATATGTCCAAATATTCCCATACCCAGATATGTACGTAGTAGAATAGAGCTTGAACCTCAGGATAAAGATAAATTTTCAATTTCATTTTGTATAGAACAGGTAGAGATGGCACCTTAGTTTGTGTGGAAAACTTATATAAGAAATATTTACTTAAGAATAAAATGTTCAGGCGTGCCATAGTGCAATTAACAGAATTTTAAAAGAAATTCAGAGTGAAGTTTGTATTTACCTCAGGATCCGTCTTCAAGAAGGCTTCCATTTTGCTCACACCAGCTCTGGCATTGTTAACATGGTGGTTGAAATGCAGATGAAGGTAATGCACATAACTGTCATGCTGTTTTACACTTACAGATATTCTGAACTTTTGTAATAGAAGTCCATATTTATTTTTTCTCACATTCTCATATTTAAGAGGGAAGTAGACACATGACTTAATATGTAATCTGCATACAATTAGGTCTCAGAAAGACAAGTATTTACCATTTATCAGTACAAATGTCACTTACACACGCTATTTTTACAATCTTAGGAAGTGCAAGCTTATGTTTGACCTTGTTAATGATGATGATTTATATTGAAAATTACATTTTCTTCATAGCTAGTGTTATTTTATGACAGGATCCTAAGTGTGAAGATGACACAGAGCTGCAGCCCTGTGTGATGCAGTATGTCCTCTTCCCACCTCATACTACTACAAAGGAAAGGTAAAATATCAAACTGTTGCTGGAGTATTCAGCCCATTATTCCTTTGTTGAACAAATAACAACAAAAAGTTTAGTTGACTGTATGGTGGATGGAATATTTACTCTTTTTAGATATGTGTAATTTTCTGAGGAGGAGTTGGATAAAATAATTTCATATTTGTGTGTGTTGTTTTAACAGCTTTACTTAAAAGTAATAAAAGAAAAATGCACTAAAAATAATGATATAAACTGTAGCTTAATTCATACAAATGTTCAGCCAACTTGCTGCAGATAACAAATGAAATGATTGTCAACGTAAACCTGTCTCCCGAATGTGGCTATAGCATGTAATATATTCTCTTTTTTGTTTGTAATCTAGTAAGTGTGACTGACCTTATCTGTCTGTCCATTGCTTTTTTTCAGCTTCTCAGAGAGCGACACAGATGTGGAAGAGCGTGCTGAGAGTGATGGTGAGATTCAGATTATCACTGAGTGTTGGATAGAGCCACAGTATGGTAATGTGGTCAACAAGACCCCAGAGAGGAACCACTATGATGGACTAGACTTCAAGCAGCTGGCTAATGCGGTAGGTGAACCTCTGTTTGGTTAGTGTGTTTAGTTAGTACTAGTTGCTGAAGGTGGATCATTTCACTGATTATATCAAGGTTCTGGACAATTTTTTTTAAACACATTACTATGCCTTTTAATGATGGGTTTATTTTCACTATCCTAAATAACTGACAAGGTAAAGGTCAACCTTGTGCAGAAATTATGATTATAGTATGCCAATACCTGTTGTGATGAGATCTTGCTAGACTGTTAAGAGTTGATTACACAATGAACATGAGCCATCAGCAGTAGAGTTTCCAAGTGCCCACAAGTACAGCATGTTGATTTGTGATTGACATATAATGTGGTTGTTCTTTGCATTTGGATCAAATCTTAAGTAAAGGATGACAAGTGGAGTGCCTGGACCATTATTTATAAACGACTGCCAACAATATTTGGGTATATAAATTGTTAAGTTGTACAATGATAATAAAGAGACATTGAAGAAAATATAGCTTATGTTAAGATTTCATAGAAGGAACACCTTTGAGTCCCATCTCTGTTAACAAGCTGTCATCTAATTATTTATATAAAGATATAAAATGTTACTTAAAGCAGGGATATTCTATTTGTGTAATGCATTGTCATTCTTCAACTAAGACTAGCCAGGAATGTTGGGAACAGATGTAAAATACTTACCACTCTGTACTGTGACTAGCTTTTAGAATTGTGAATTTTAAGACACCACAAAAATACTTAAAGCACAATGACATGAAAGTGAGAAAGTGTTACAGTATTTTAAGGACACAGAAACATGAAGGGACTTATGCTGGGTTTCCTATTGAAATCCTATTTCTCTTTGCTGTGCACCAGTACTCTGGTATAAAATGGGAAGATAGATACACTTTGGTATTGGGAAAGATTGTAATGGAATTGGAAAGGAATTATAAGTCTGGGAGGAGAAGGAGGGGGGGGGGCAGAATATAACACTGTTATTTTAACACTGTTATCATAGCATCCTACAGGTACTGATAATGCAAGGAGTATCTATTAATTTGTATGTGCTTTTCCTTATCATATGTAGGATTATAATCTCATTTATCATGTAAACAGATAGCATGTCACGCAATAATTCTTCACAATATTCACAATCGATTTTCATTGACATGAAGATGAAAGTGTGAAAGGTTTCTCACTTTGTTTATGAAAAGATGATGAACGGCACATTTTTATATATATTGTTCAAACAATGAGACTGTTTTACACGTGAATATGCCCAGATATCTGTTATCTAACTCAGTGGTCGAAAAAGTAATCTTATCTCAGTGATTTCACTATATTATTAAAACTTGCTGATTGGCATGAACTGGCCATTATCACCCTGTTGCCATGTGTGTGAACCCTGTATCTGTGGTCCTCACCTGAGACCATTACATATACCTGACAGTCACATGCTGGAGTTATAAATCAGATGCAATAATATTTGAGTTTTTCTGTGATAAAAGCCCTTTGATGTATTTGTGCTATATCACCAATTATCGTGTTTTGATTAATTTGGGTACCAGTTTGGTGTATTGGATGTTAAGTTTTATTAGGTATGGAGAATTGTGCATTTTCAATGATAATATGTATTTATTTAGTGCAATATTTGCTTGCAGTTGTTTTCAGCAAGGGGAAGTTTTATGAAAATGAAATGATAAATTAAAGAAAAAAACAAGAAAGTTGTAGGAATGGTATATTGAAATATTGATGAAAGTGTAATAACTTCCTAAAAGTACATTAAGTTTCTGTTTTTAGAAAAGTAATTTTATGTATAGTGCATATGTTAAAGTATAAAAGAAGTTGGAAAAGACAGACTGCAAATTTCAGAATTAATCTCTATCTCCCTGGCACTTCTGCTGGTGTCTCTTCATATCCAGGGTAGGTTAAATTATGAGTGATCTTTATGAGAATCCAACTCTACCTAAACACCTGAGGTGATGACAGCATGCAGGTGGAGACCAAGTGGGTGGAGAACATTATCAGGAAAATAAGTCTATGCATCTTTTTTAAAATTAAGTCCTTAACATAAAGCACATAATTGCTTCGGTGGAAAGTGATTTTGTTTGTTTGAAACATTGGATAAAAAAAGGGTGAAAAAGTACCTTAATCTCTGCAGTGAAACAGCACCCTCAGAGTTATGTGCCATACATTACATAAGTTGGGATTTGAGGATTTATTGTCAGGTCAATTCAGTTGCAGGTATTGAATGGAAGCTGATAAAAATGGACGAAACTCCCCTCCCTAAGGTTCTTTCAATGGACCCTCGAGCTCATATTTAATAACATAAATAATTTAAGCTGTGATAAAAAGCAAAGTCTCTTCATCCTAAGCTTCTTTCCATGTCTTCCTATCTCTCACATGTCTGTTAGTTCTGTGTGTTTGTGTGCTTTCCCATGCTGTGGATCCCTTTATCTGTTTGTCGTGTCTGTCCACTCCTTCCCCTAGCTTGATAACTTATCACAGAGATGATTAGCATGGGATGAAGATGGCTGAACTATCTGCAGTTGCAACCAGGATCCGGGGACCAGCTGGAAAAAATGTCACCCACTCACCCTAAAAAAATAGATATTGAATTAGTTAACGTTTGACTAGTAGCCTATAATCGAAAATAAACCTTTTCCTTGCGTGAGCCCACACACTGTTGGTTTCCACTGTGCACCTCATAAACCCCTGATGAAGCTGTGGGCACCTGTGCCTTGACATGTCACACAGTTACCACTAATGGAAGCATATGCTATGCCAGGAAACTTAATGTACTAATTACTTTCCTTTGTGATTAAGTGTGCATTTGTGACTATGGATGGCAGTATGGCGTACTTAACATGTCTTTTGTTTGTTGTTGAGTGCCAAGGGCAGTGGGTAGAAGGAGGTTAATGAAAGTTCAGCTTTCTGTAGTTATTTTGCAGGATTTTGTTTTGCAAGCAAAATGTTTGTTTTTTTTATTTGTTGCCCTTTTTGTCCATTTCTGATTTAAAATCTTATTGTTTTTAATACTATATTTCTTCTTTTTTTAATTCTACACATTGTGATGGATGAACTAATGGAAAAAAGGTTTGGACAAAATTGTAAAAGATGTGGTTTATTTGGGTAAAGAGCCTATAAATTTTATGGTTTGCCTCAGCTTATATCATTTTAAAAAGAAATTCTATCCTGTAAATTGTCATAAGCTGACTTTAACAAACAGATTAGAGTATCTATATTTGAGAGCACCTCTCCAGATAGAAAGGTCAGAGGTCATTTGAGGTTTGTTGACAGGTGGTTAAAAAGTTATCAGACAGGAGACTTGTGGTCTGGGAATGAACACATAAGTAAAAACTTTCTTTGTGGAAAGATCTATCCAGTAATTTCCTGCAAAAAATGCTGAAAATTGATCCAAAATATCCTATCACTGGATAAGTTGTGCTTTTCTTTTTTTGTAATTGAGGATAATTAATTGAATTTTTATAAAAATTCAATATTAGGTTCTGACAATTTTTTTTAAATAAAAGAGATTCTTTAGTTTATTCAAAATCTCTAATTCTTACACCATATGGTTTTGCATGCCATCAACTGGTCAACCTTATCATATAATATTCAAGCACTTATTGCTTTATAACATTTATCTACTTGTGAAGTACTTTTAGGAGGTTCTTCAGAAGTGGGAAGAGATTTGATTGCAGTAGTTTTTCAAAATTAACTGTGCTGATCAGCCATGTGTACTTGTGAGCATGTGATGACATCGCATGGAGGCTGTGATCAAGATATGACTCTGCATACATACATATTGTCTGATTGTCTGGACCCCTATAAAAGCTAGAGTCCAGGCCATGATGTTCTATTGTCTTTAGTCACAAGTTACTGGTCAGGGCTCTCTGTGCGTACATTTCATTGGTCATAACGACCCATACCAGCCAGTCTGGCCATTAGGACAAAGGGCAATTACAAGGATTATCATTTTAGACTTTTATACATGTACATGTCTTGTATGAAACTGCTTATACTACTCTTGGAAGAAAATTATTTTAATTTTTTTTTTCTGACTGGGTGCCACAGAATATTCCAGTGATGCTGTGTCAAGACATGGAGGCCTGGACATTGAAAGTTAATTTTTAGTGTTGCTTTCTCACAAAAATGTTAAAGAGATGTCATTACAAAGAAATTTTAATATAATAAAAACCAGATTGCGTGAAGCAAATTGCAGTTGAAATTATTGTGAGCATTGAGATTAAATTTGAGGATTGGTTTCAGATATGCTTGGAATAGTTAAGCCATCTCAGTGCAACTCCAAAAAAGGCACTATGCAGACAATTTTCATCATTTTTAATAAATTTAGCATCTAATTGCAGTGTTGCTATGGCCAGTTTAGCTCAGGTATTGCGAACTGCCGAGTCATGAGACATAAGATGTCCCCAGGTGTGCCCATCCCAGCTTGCTGTTATCTCTGCTCTAACAAGAGCCAAGGCTTGTGAAAGAGGCCTCCACTCCACAGTACACAATTGTTTTACTATCACGAGAGGTAAACTCGAGTACATAGTTCTGTTTGAACAGAATTTAGTCACTTGATGAAGTGATACTAAAAACCACAGGTCAAGTCTTGTGTGCGGACTTCAAAGAGAAATAAAATCACTTCCACGTTTACCTTAAAGAGAATTGCGATATTGAGCAAGTTGCTTGAAGAACTTGACAAATATATCCAAAGTTTCTTTTTATACCCAGGGTATTGAAACAAGATATCAGTAAATTGATTAATTCATCTATGTCACAAAATTGCCAGACAGGCTATAGAAAAACATGTGACAGGCATATTAAATATCTTTAATAGCTTGCATTGAATTTGATTATTTATCAGTGTCCCAAAATCTTCCGAACAAGTTTACAAAGTGAAAGGTGGTTTTAATGCTGCAGTATCCTATATAATCTTGTAATTTAGGTACTGCCTAATAATATCAGTTCAATATAGGAGTAAATGTATGTATTGTTACTGAAATAATGATTGATCCCGAGATCTAATCCATT